TCTGACCTCTTTTCGTCTTCATGTCCAAAATCTTTTCGACCACAAAGTTGTTTTCAGCGAGATTCTCTTCCTCCGACGGTCGTTTACGCTTACCGCTCATTTTTCTCACAATCAAACACAGAAAGAGAATCTGGAAGACGGACGAACAGATGGAAGGTGAAAGGAAATGATTGACGATTCGTTGTTTATTCTTCGTGAGAGAAAAATGAGGTGAGGGTCGAAATAGGAATGCTGCCTCCACAGCGAGACTGGATTACCAGTCGTCATACTTCTACAAACTAACTACACTAGAAAAACTTAAACTTAAACACTTGTCTCAGTGTAATGTGTCATGAGGTTATTTGTAAAGCTAGTCGCTCTTTCTAGGTTTTCATAGCAAAACTGACGTTATAGTATAGTTCTATAGTCTGACACTCCTCCTTAGATAACTTGTTTACTTTAAACGGGATGAACGATTTTCAAGACAACGATCATGTGCATGGGTACGAGCCTGATGAAAGTCATAATGCACATGGGAAAAGTCCAGACTGGCAAGAAATACAAAACAGGGAGACAAAAAAAATGTGTCGTGGTATTTGCTTTTTCTCATCTCTAAAAATAGTTCAAAAAGCGAAGTGTTGTTTCTTAATATAGAACGTATAGTTCGGTCTCTGTTTTGGATTAAAAAGTAGGCAGAGCATACATCCAGCTTTGATAGCGTACTACTCATGTCGTTCTTCTATTTCTTATTCTTTGGGCACTTCGCAGATACACAAATATTAACTCAATATGATAATAACATAGGCAATAGATTGCTTGAGGTGTATGTTAACACTTGCACTTATTCTAACTCAATACTCACTCATTAGGTAATACAATTATCATAACGTTCCTTAATGTGGTTAGCAAGGCTCTTTCTATAATATCTAAACTTTTAATCTATATTATCTTGAGTTTATACAAACTGAGCATTAACCCTTGTAATGTTTTCAGCATGAGTTAACCGTTACTTCAATTCACTCTCCAATGATGAATTAGATAATATATTATCTTATGCATAGATGTCTCGTTAAAAGGAGAGAGCTGTTGTTTATAGAGGCAAAATTCTATAACGCCAGTGGAACGTCAATACCATGGCGAAAACACTTCATTTATTATAATAAAAAAAGAAAACAGTTCATTGTGATAATAAATACGAATTTTGTATACATATATTTAAACAAGGTCTAACGTGTTCTGTACACTAATAAAAAACCTTCCATATTTCGGCTATGGATTGAATTACATGTCATTTGAAAGTAGAATGTTCCTCTACAAAATGATTTATAGAGTGGTACTAGTAGTGGGATATATAGAAAAACCTGACAATAAAACAATCTTTTTTTTCGGATTTTTCTGTGAAGTCCAATCTAGCATTTCCAAAACCCAAATTATTGTTTTTACAACTGATAATTGTATATCGATTAGTATAGAATACAGAATGGTATTCCTTTAGCAGGTGTTCCACCGTGAATATATGGTAACATTATAGCTGGTGTTCCCCATAAGAAAAAAGTGTTCCACCTCTTTTGTTAAAGACGACATAGTGACATTATAGCTGGTGTTCCCCGTAACGAAAAAGTGTTCCACCTTTTTATAGATAGAATAGCATAGATAGAGTGATTGAAGTGTTCCTCTTCTTGAAAAACATGAAAATTGTTCCATTTCTAGTCTTTTCTAATACGATTAAAGTAAATACTGATAAATCAAAGAAACTATCGTATGTATAATTAACTTTATTAATTAATTAAAGAAGCAGCAAAGAACATCGATTAAGAAAAGTTAAAAGACAGATAAGGAGAAGAAAAAATGAAGAATGTTCCGTTTAAATGATGATTTACTATCTCAATTCGTTCGCGACCAAAACATTGATGATTATTTTGTACGATAATGTCGAATATCATTCAAAATAGATGGAAACATGGACTTATGGACAGAACGATACCAGAATTCGGCCAGATGGGAGTCCAATAAGGTTGTTCCGCGCATTGTTCTAAGAATCTTTGTTTTTGCGTGGCCCCATAATGATTCGATAAGTTGCGTGTGGCAGCCGGTATGTGTTATGATCTACTCTGGGTGCTTTTTAAAATTTACCTGAAAATGAACTCGATGATTTCCTCACTATGATAAAAATCATAAATAGTCATAGACCTAGCCAAGAGATAAAAACGAAACCGTCATTGTTGAAAATATCTTAAAAAATTCTAGAACTTTTGCTTAAAGCTGAAGGTTTTTTCGCCATAACGTAATTATTCGGGGCATATAACTTCTCTAATGACACGATTTTAGGCAAAAGGTAACGACAATGAACGTTTGCGAACGTTACGGTTCTTCATTTAATTTTGCGTAAAATTTTTCAAGTAAACTCCGCACAGTCAGTCACTATTTTGTCTTATCGTCTTTAACACAAAGTTTTCCATTTAACATTTCTTGTTTATTTCGTTCATGAAAAGTACGTTAACATAGCAAAAAAGGGAATGATAGAGACTTGAAAGTTTCAGGACAGCGGTAGTGAATGTTTTTTATGCACAATCAATTAATCGTTTCTTCTGCGGTGCTCGAAACAACGGGTTGTTCGGATTCAGTGGCTTTACCCGATGAGCAACAACGATCTGTGCTGCTCACCATCGGTGATTTGGATCATATTTTGCATTGTTCGGATTACACTAGTTGGCATGATTATTCAAATGAGCTTTTTGTTGTTGAACGGGAGCTTTGTCTTTGCCCATTTTGTTGTTTCAATTGTTCGATCATCTCTTGTTTGGCTCGATTGCTGTCGTTGTCTGGTGGCATTCTCACCAGATCATCTTTTCCTAATTATTCTCGTGGCAACAAGTCTTCTGTCCCACAACACAATTGTTCTTGTTAAATCTGTCTATTGACAAGACGGCATCCACAGAACGTCGTCGTATAATAAGAACATTATTCATATCAACAAAGCTATCGTACCTGTTCGTTTCAGGGAGATTAAACTTACACTGGAGATCCTCATACCTATTTTCACATGATTTCTGTGTATCAGTACAATGTAAAATTCAGTGGAAAAATTTTATTACCAATTAAATTGTTGTCCTTATTTTTATTTTTTGTTCTGTTATTGAATACCTTTCTTCTGCTCGCTCCTCACCTTTCATTCTGTGATTTCTCTTCACGACCAAAAAAGAGAAATTCTTAAAAGAAAAGAAGAATTCTTCTTTGTTCGTATCATCGAGCAATCGAGCGTTGTTTAATACAATCTTCTGTCTCATTTCAGATTGATTTTTATTGGAAATGGCTCAGAACAGTATTAATCTCATGTCTGTACTTGAACATTGGTTTACCCTGGATGATGAATCAGCGTCGAAATTGCTCATGCTAGATGATGGCATAATTTTGCTACCCTATGGTATTCATCATCATAATGAAAGTCAAGCGGATCAAGCAGTCCCATGCATCAGAAATACCACTGAATCGATCTCAAAGCCAGGTAAAATCTTTTTTACTACAACAGACAAATGCGCCCCAAACATTAATCCATCACTATCGACAAATCGATTCTGTTTTCATTTTCTCTGCCAATGAAGAACATCACGAATTTGATCAAGCCTATTACAAAATAATCGGTATTTACAATGATAAAAAACAACTGATCGATGCCATTCAAGAACAACTTTTGCTCGAGAGACAACAGCAGTTGACATTTTCATTCTATAATCAACATCAAAAATCAACTCGAGATTTGTCAAAAGAATCAGCATCATTTCTCTGGTGTTACTGTTTAAAGATGTCCTGGTGAGAATACCACCGAACAACGACAGCAACCAAGCCAAACAAGAGATAATCGAACAATTGAAACAGCGCTATCGTAACAACCGAACACAGCTGAAACTAATTGAGCACTTTTATCAAACATATAAGTCGACTGACAACGAACCAATTCGATGGTATACAGGCAAGCCGTTTCTATATAAACAAATTAATCGAGCCTTGCGTACGGAAGACATTCAAATGTTGCGCACATTTCGTTACATTATTTCTGACATCAGCCGTTGTCTCAAGCAAGAATTCGAATATATAAAAGAGTTTGTTGGTCAAATAACTCTCTATCGAGGATTAAGAGTTTCAAACGAAGAACTTAACAAATTGAAAGAGAATGTCGGCAAAATGATATCTACCAATGGGTTTTTATCGACAAGTCGCTCTCGAGCAGTAGCATTGGTGTTTGCTGGTAAACTAACAACAGACAAACAAAGTGTATTATTTGAAATCGAATGTAATTTGAATGAACTTCAGAATGATGCCGTTATTTTTGCCGATATTGCTCGATTTAGCGAGATACCAAACGAAGAAGAAGTTCTATTCGATATTGGTGCTGCGTTTTTTATGGAATCAGTCTGTTACGACAATGAACTGAATGTGTGGCTGTTTAAACTGCGAGCCGTCGATGAAGCAGCTCAAATAGCTGAAGTCTATCTAGAGCGTAACAACGAATTTATCGAAAATGATGGGTCAGTTTCAGCGAGCACTCTACTATTTTCAACGATTGCTAAACAATAGCACCGAAGACGAAGCGTTGATTCAATTTTCGATTGGTATTGCCCAATTCGAACTGGGCAACTATATCGAGGCCTTCAAATCTTTGGAATGTTCACGAACAATGCTAGAGTCGCGTCAGAGGCCAGTATTTTTACCCGAAGCTTATATATTGGTTATATTCTCAGTCGTATGGGACAGCATGAGAAGGCCCTACAAGTTCATTTAACATGTTTGAACTTCGTCGAAAAACGAGCCAAATCTAATCCACGGTATCTGGCTGTTTGCCTTGGCCGTGTTGGCACTACCTATCTCGACAGGGATGAATACGATCAAGCAATGAATTACTGCATGAAATCTAATAAAGTAATAGGGACTTGTTATCCGTCTGATCATGTTGAGTGTGGGAAAAATTTCGCAAATATTGGCACTGTTCACTATATGAGAGGGGACATTGACAGAGCATTGTTACGAACAAGCATTGAGTATAGTCGAAAAATGCCTTGTACCCGATCATACGCAGATCGTTGCGTTGTTGAATAATCTTGGTAATATACGACGGGATCAAGATGACTACAATGCCGAACTGGAATATTACACTCGATGTCTAGTAGTTGAGATGGACATCTTGACGTTGCATCCACTATAAACCAGATAGCTCATATTCTATTTTATCAAGAAAACTATGTCGCATGTTTAGAATACTATTTCAAAGCATTGAAATGACAGACAGATCTAGTGAGTGACAATCAAGTGGACTGTGCGTTAACTCTTTATGGCATCGGATTTGCCTATGCGAAAAGCAAACAACTCGATCGAACTTTGCACTATGCTGCGCAGTCTCTTCAAATAATTGAGCAAAACCAATCGATGATGATAACGTGTACAATTGGTAAATGTTTATTTCTAATTGGTAGCATTCTCGATCTACAAGGTGGCACATAACCTTTGCCTCCCCCTCTATAACCTAAAGTATCAATGATATCACAAATGTATTTTATATCAAACTAAAGCGCGCCAAAAACTGGATTTATTGGCACTAAATACTAAAGGTTGTGAA